ATCAAATGCATTTAATTAAAATTGAATTAGTTTAATTTGGTATTTTCAAGTGTTTTTTACATGAAATAAATACCTTAAGAATTGTAAAATAATTTAACAGATATACCGAACTTTAATTAAAAAACTATTTGTCTAAGGATTTTGCTCATCAAAATCATACATAATTTTGAAATTATGAATCGAGAATAAATTTTTGTCAGAATATTACAATATTTCACTATAATTTTTATACAAACTTGTGTTTTACGTATAAAAAATGTATTTGCATAAAATTTATTCTTATTCCTTTGGATAGAAAAAATATTGTTTGACTTTAAGAAAAATTAGCATTTAGATGAAAATTTTGAATTACACTGACAGTGTTTGCGTCTTTATTTACAATTTTAACTCGCAATTTATGTAGGTTTAAAGAATACTTTATTATTTTATAAAAAAATCTTAATCCTTATGGAAAATTCAATAAGTAAATTTGAATCTATGGAAATATTTTCGATAATTTTCTACTATTCAAAGTTTTTTTCTATAGAAAATTTTTGATAAATTTCTTTTTATAGAAAATTTTCGATAAATTTTCTTTTTATAGGAAATTTTCGATAAATTTTCTTTTTATAGACAATTTTTGATAAATTTTCTTTTTATAGACAATTTTTGATAAATTTTCTTTTTATAGACAATTTTTGATAATTTTTTTTAATAAACTTCCATAAATTTTCCTTTTAAAGAAAAAAATTTTCCTTTTTATAGAAAATTTTTGAAAATTTTAAATTTTTTCTTTTTATAGAAAATTTTCGATAAATTTTCTTTTTATAGAAAATTTTCGATAAATTTTCTTTTTATAGAAAATTTTCGATACATTTTCTTTTTATAGAAAATTTTCGATACATTTTCTTTTTATAGAAAATTTTCGAAAATTTTTTTTTTTTTTTGAAAATTTTTAAAGAAAATTTTCTTTTTATAGAAAATTTTTAAAGAAAATTTTCGTTCAATTTTCTTTCTTCTATAGAAAATTTTCGTTTAATTTCCTTTTTATACAACATTTTCTTTTCAAAGAGAATTTTCTTTTTATAGAACATTTTCGATAAATTTTCCTTTTATAGAACATTCTCTATAAATTTTTCTTTTAAGAACATTTTCGATAAATTTTCCTTTTATAGAAACTATTCGATAAATCAATTTTCGTTTTAGAGAAATGTTCGAAATTTTTGTTTAATTTTCGTTTTATAGAAAATTTTCGATAAATTTTCTTTTTATGGAAGATTTTCGATAAATTTTCTTTTCATAAAAATTTATCGATACATTTTGTTTTTATAGAAAATTTTTCAATAAATTTTCTTTTTATAGAAAATTTTTCAATAAGTTTTCTTTTTATAGAAGATTTTTGATAAATTTTCTTTTTATAGAAAATTTTCGATAATTTTTCTTTTTATGGAACATTTGTTACAAATACTCTTTTTATAGAAAATTTTTGTTAAATTTTATTTTCATAGAAAATTTTCGTTAAATTTTATTTTCATAGAAAATTTTCGATAAATTTTATTTTCATAGAAAATTTTCGATAAAGTTTCTTCTTATAGAAAATTTTCGATAAAGTTTCTTCTTATAGAAAATTTTCGATAAATTTTCTTTTTATATAACATTTTCAAAGAAAATTTTCGTTTAATTTTCGTTTTATAGAACATTTTTGATAAAGTTTCATTTAATAGAAAATTTTATACATAGAATTTTATAGAAAATTTTCGATAAATTTTCCTTTTATAGAACATTTTTTAAAAATTTTTCTTTTATAGAACATTTTCGATTAACTTTCCTTTTATAGAAACTATTTGATAAATCAATTTTCTTTTTAGAGAAAATGTTCGATTAATTTTCTTTTTATAGAAAATTTTCGTTTAATTTCTTTTTTATAGAACATATTCTTTTTATAGAAAATTTTCGCTAAATTTTTATTTTCATAGAAAATCTTGGTTAAATTTTTATAGAAAATTTTCGATAATTTTTTTAGAAAATTTTCGATAAATTTTCTTTTTTCTATAGAAAATTTTCGTTTAATTTTCTTTTTATAAAAATTATTCAATTAATTTTAGAACTAAATTTCCTATTGACCCTTTTTTAGCACACAATCGCCTATTGTAACTAAAGCTGTATATGAATGTATTATTATGTGTGTGTGTGGAACGCGTGAATTTCTTACCCACGCTTTTTGCAAAACCTAAAGATCTTCAATAAAGATTATTTCTATTTTAATAACAATTTTTATAATTTTTGATTTTATTTCATTTGTTGATGATCACCAAACAAGTCTCACACTTGTTTTGCAGTCGATCTCATACTATTTCCAATATAGTAAATGACATTAATAAAAAATAGTGTCTTTTAGTGTTTTAACGCTTTAAGATTGAGTTTTTTTTTTTTTTTTTTTGGTGTCATGGTTCTTTAGTTATTTAGCAGTTAAAAGAAATTGAAAGTTTTTTTGTGGTTTTATATAGTACAATTTTTCATTGTTAATAGTTCTGTATCTCATGGTTTTGATCTAAACATCATTTTAGCATATTTTTCTTTTTTTCCCGGCCTATTATAAGAAGTTTCTTGCTGTTTTTTCTCCATTTTAAGGCTGTTTAAATTTTCCAAGAAATTTATTCACACCTCATACTCTACCGACTACGAGTGCTGCTTTGTGTGATATCAAATTTCTGAAATGTGTTTCCATTCATTGGGTTTTATTGTTAGGTCCTCCCAACAATTCGGTATAAAATTGAATGAGGTAAAATTCATTTAAATTAATTGGTAGATTTTTAACAATATAAATATGCATTTAAAAATTAAATGAAAATAAAGACTTCTTTTGGCTTTGCTACAATATATGTACATTCCTAAAATTTCTTAGAGTTATTTCTTTTTAAGATATTTTTGACACTTGATGACTTAAAATAACATTACCACACACAGTGTAACGAAAACCAAATAAGTTTTGTAAAAATGTATAAATATCTTTTATAAATATTGTTTTCAAACTCAACCACATACGAAGGAATTGTATTTGAATCCTATAGAATTAAACATTTTTTAATAGAATACAAATTTTTTTGAAAATTTTCAATAGATAAGATAACTTTTTAAAAATGTATTGAAAATTTTCTGTAGTAGAAAAAATTCTTCAAAATGGTTCAATATAATGGACAAATTCATAGAAAATTTTTTATAGAAAATAAAATTATAAACTTTTTTATATAAAATCATAAATTCATTGATATTTTTCTATAGTAGAGAAAGTTTTTTGAAAATATTCTATTTGAAATCGAAATTTTATTAAACATTTTCTATCGAAGAGCAAATTCTTCAAACATTTTCTATAGAATCGATAAATCATTGAAAATTTTTTATACATAGGA